GTGTGTGTGTGTGTGTGTGTGTGTGTAATATATATATATTATACACACACACACACACACACGAAAAGATGGGAGTTGCCTTACCAAGTGCGGGGTCAGTGCTAACGAGACAATTCAATTCAAGTGGAAGTGGGCTATTCTCAACAGTAGAATACCAAGGGAGGAAAAATCACTTTTGTAGTGGTAACAAAGTCAATGTAAACAGGGTGGCCCATTTCAAACCATTGACAAGAAGGTGTGAGTATCGGCAGGGGGAAATTAGTTTTTTGTAGTGACTCCTCCACTCCCAGTCTTTATTCAGACCTAGTTTGATGGTGACCAGTTTGCCAATTAATTCCAGTTCTGCAGTTTTTCGTTGGAGTCTGTTTTTGAAGGGTTTTTTTCTTGAATTGAGTGTCCCGGGAGATTGACGTGTTCTCGGACTGGTTTTTGAATGTTCTAATTCTAGACGTCTGATTTGTGTCCATTTATTCTTTTGCGTATAGACTGTGTGGTTTGGCCAGTGTACACGGCAGAGGGGCATTGCTGGCACATGATGGTTTATGTGACACTATGGGCTGAAGTGTCACCACTTTGAACCTGGAAACTTCTCCCCTCCCCTGTGGCCGTGTTACATCCCAGCAGCAATCACAGGCAAGGGGTTAACTGTAGGGTTACCATTCGTCCGGATTCTGCCGGACATGTCCGGCTTTTTTGAGTTAAAAATAGCGTCTGGGGGGAATTTGTAAACGTCCAGATTTCCCCCCCATGCAGAGCGCGCACGGCTGACAGGGCAGCTGGCCGGATCGTGCCACTCGCACAGGGCTCTGGCAGCCAGAGCCCCTCCTCCGTTTCCCCCCCTCCTCTCCCCTGCAACTTGAGACCACTCCCCTCCTCTCTCCCTCCCTCCCTCCCCCTCCCTGCATTCGCAGATCGCCGGCCGGCCATTCGCATCGGGCCTCCGGCAGTCTGGAGCTCCGACCCTGCTCCCCCTCCCCTGCTGCCGAGCGCGCCGTTCCGCAGCACTCTGTTCTGAGCGGCAGGGTAAGGGGGCCAGGGGGTCGGAGAAGCGGCAGGGAGGTTCTGGGGGGGGCAGTCAAGAGACAGGGAGCAGGGGGAGGGTTGGATGGGTCAGGAGTTTGGGGGGGGCTGTCTGGG